GAACCCCTTCTCCAGACTCACGGCGCCTCCACCTCAAAGCCAGCGGCACTTCCTGCACTTCGCACGCCCCTCCTTTCAAGGACACACACACACGCACATACACACACACACACGCACACACACGCGCATACACACACACACACCGAAGTGGTGTCCTCTGCGTGTTGCTGGGAGATTTTCTCTGTTGGCACCTCACGCGCAGACCCACCCCAAAACCCGGGGCCCGGAGCTCAGCTGCTGCCCCAGGAAGGTCCTCATTCCCCACGCGGGGCTCAGAGACGCGGGCTTCCCGGGCAAGCCAACATCACACACATCCGTCAGCAGCCGAAGCGCCCAGCCCACTCACACTCAGAATCCAAGTCCTTGGCCATCCTGCTCCCTCGGCCATCCGGCTCTGGGCGGGGCTGCCGTTACCGGGGAGACCGACAAACATTCTGAGTCCCTCCCCCTCCAGGTCCCTTGCTGCCGGGCAACCGGACACGCAGTGCCCGGAATCTCCCATTCTCGGGCCTCTCGCCCACCTCAGGGAGTACTAGGTCTGCTTGCTTGTTTTAGCTTCAAAAGAAAACTTTTTATAATTTGAGAAAACATCCAAATACCCTAGCACTTTCTTTTTTTAAAATATATTTTTGTTGACTTCTGAGAGGAAGGGAGAGACAGAAACATCAGTGAGGAGAGAGAATCATGGATCGGCTGCCTCCCGCACGCCCACACTGGGGATGGAGCCCGCAACTGGGGGGGCGGGGGGCGCAAAGTAAGCCCTGCTCTTCCTGAGCTGCGGGCATCTGGGAGGAAAGCTCAGCATCTCCAGTTTCCTCTTTGAAAACTAATCTACCCGTTTCCCCCGCAGAGGGCGCTGGAGGGCAGCCACAGGCGGGGTTCAGGCCCAGGGAGGGGGGACTGTCCCCCAGGCCAGGCGCGCTGGGGAGGCTGCGGTACCTGCATCTTCTTGTATTTTTGTGGGCGCAGGTGGGACTCTGTCCGTGGAAGCGCTTACAGGCCGAGCGGGGGGCGGGAGGGGGGCGGACACCCCATGGCTTACAGGGCTCCGTGGAGGTGGTCTCAGGGGACAGGTACCTAAAGCGCCCTTCCTCTCCGGTGCTGATGCGTGAGGGCCCAGCCACAGCACAACGTTGACAGGAAAATGCCCAGTTGCACCAGTTGCATCGGGGCTAAGTCTCCAACCTCCTGTCCATGGAAAGCGAAGATCACGTGGGGCCCCCAGGGTGTCCAGGACCCACAGCTGGAGACGGAGCCTCTGCTCCCAGCTGCCTGGTGCTGGCAAGTCTCCCAGGCGGTGGCTGTGCCCGCTTCCCCCTGCCCCGCGGCAGGTGTGGTGTGGGTGGAGGGCAGGCTCCCGGGTGGGAGGTGTGGCCCCGGGCACTGGTCACGGCCAGAGTCCAGCCTGCGCTGCCCCCGCTCCGCTCCCGGGCGGAGAATGGGTTCGGCTCCTTTCACATGACACTGCGGAGTCTTTGTTTAGATCAGGAAGAATTTATTTGTTCCCTCCCAACACCTGTGTCTCCCCTGAGTAGGCCCTCAAAGTGGGGTACACAGGCTGTTCAATTACCGCCCCCCCACACACACTCAAGGTGAGAAGTCGAACCATGTGGGTGTCGAGCCTGACACCACCCCTGCTGCTCTCCTGTCTAAGGTTCCCACGCTGGGTTTGGGGTGGGCGCACGCTGACTCGGTGAGCTACGAGGGCACAGGTGGATGCCCCAGACGGATGGGGCGCTAGAAGACGTGAAAATAGTTGTGGGACCTGCTGATCCCCCACAAGACCAGGGTCCCAGCCACTGAATTCCCTCTCCTCAGGTCCCTTCCCTCCGCCCTCCCCTGTGCTGGACAGGACACCACCAGCGCTGCTGCGGGCCACCCTGCTGAGGGTCACCCTGCTGCGGGCCACCTTGCTCACAGGGCCACCCTGCTCAGGGCCACCCTGCTGCGGGCCACCCTGCTCAGGGCCACCCTGCTCAGGGCCACCCTGCTCAGGGCCACCCTGCTCAGGGCCACCCTGCTGAGGGCCAGGCCGCACGATGGCCCCGGCTGTGCGAGGGTCAGCGGAGGGGCGAGGAGCCCTCACAGATGTGAGCAGAGCCGTGGGCAAGCCGCTGAGGAGGGGGCGTGAGGAGACAGGCCTGTCCTTGCGAAAACCACACCCACCAGACATCTCCGGGGTCTCCTCTGCCAGGCCCTCACAGTCACCCACTGGGAGCAGGACTCGGGAAAAGCAGGTGGCAGCGAGCGCTGGGGCGTGCGGACGGAGGCAGAGGAGCGAGGGGTGAGGGCAGCGCTGGTGGTGTCTTGTCGAGCACAGGGGAGGCAACACACTCAGGAGGGACCTGTCACCCCTGGGAGCAGCACACCCTCCAGCAGGGAGGGCGTCTGGGTTCCCAGAGAGGAGCCCACTGAGCAGGACGCGGAGAGCGAGGTACAGAGCACAGCGTGGCCGTCCACGGGAGGACGCGGGCCTCCTGCGGCTGAGCCAGGGGAGCGGGGGTCCCCGAGTGTCCACCCGTGAACTGTCATTTACTCCGCAGCACGGGGCGGGGGGCCCATAGGCGGCCGCGGTAAAACCCTGGGGCCTGTCAAACACAGCCCACGTCAGGCGGACGGAGAGGTCCCACGGGCACCATTCACCCCGGGGTCCGACTCAGACCAGCCAGCCAGGGCCGGCCTGCCCGGGGCACCACGGTGTCTGTGGACACATCGGCGCGTGACATTATCCTAGCACCGTCACCGTCTCAGGCAGTGGCTCAGGAAGTGAGTATGGAACCCAAACCCGCGCCCAGTGCTGCGCACAGGCCATGGCGGGAGGAGGTGGCCCAGAGTCTGCTCCGAGCGCTGCGGCCTGGTGTGTCCCGAGGCATGGACCCTGTCACCATGTGAGGGGCCCTCGCCCAGGGAAGGCGGGTTCTCTTCGCTCCCAGGCTCAGCTCCGGTTTGCTCCTGGCTAACAGGATGGGGGCCGCTGGCCTGGACTGTGGCCTGACACTGCCCACGTGCTGCCCGCCTTGGTGAGCGAGTACCCACTGGATACCCGTCAGCGCAGCTCCCCGGGGAAAGCCGTGAGGGCGCACGGGGAGGTCAGTCTGGAGCCTTCTCCACCACCGCAGGACCCCAGCTCACACATGCACACACACACCCACGCCCCAGGGACTCCTTCCCACCAGCCGAGCCGGGAGAGAGCCACTGTCACTGCGCCCCACACGGGAGGCTGTTCAGGAGTCCGGGGCTGGTGCTCAAGGTCAGCTCTGTGGCCTGAGCCGTCCTCCCCCAAACAGTGTCAACCCGCCACCCCGCACAACCCGCCACCCCAACTGGCTGAAGCAACATGGGCATCACCTGCCCCAGCTCAATGTCTCCTAGCAACAAGGCCTGGCGTGCCCGAGGCTGCACCGCTACACCTCCCCACGTACAGCCTCCACGCATGTCCCTCACGCGCCTCTCCACGCACCCACGCGAGGCCGTTGACCTTCCCCACAAATGACAGCACAGGATAGCGGAGGTGTTTAAAAACTGTATTCAATTATTCACACCGAAGGGTATCCATTAAAAGTATGAACAGCTCTGAATATAGTCCATGTATCATACATATATATATACTTCGTATGTACAGTTACCTGTCGACAGAACTTCCGCTGCTCCCGAGCGTGTGCTGTGGAACGAAGGTGGGTTCTGCACGTGACACCGCATACATGTGCGCGTGCCGGCGGCTGGGACGCCGAGTTTATGAACAACTCGCCTCAGGTTATAATCAACGGCTGCTGTTCATCGTACGAATGTGACAGGAGCGGGTTCTCTTAAACACAACGACTGCAGGTGAGCACGTGAAGGTGCACACGTGGACAGCACATGTCATTACAAATGCAGAGGCCGGGCCCCATCGGGTTATTGCACTTGCGCATTTTACAAAGATTCCGTGACACATACAAAATGATGTTGGGAAATTTACTCAACTACAAGCAGTTGGATATAGTTCATCTGAAATTCCTTCTCCTTCTAAAGACAGCCCGTCGGCCTCGGGACAGATCCACGGGCGGGGTTGCGCGGTCGGTGTAACTGCACTGCGCTCCACGGTGTGGTCAGCCCAGGCTCTCCGCGAGGTGGGGACCTAGGACTTGTAAGGACAGTCACCTTTCCTTTTCAGAAAGATCCAAAATGCTGCACTTCTTCCAACGGCGGCCACTGTTCAGTGTTTGGGGCAGCGCGTCCTCGGAAAAGGGTCGGGGCCTTGTGCAGCCATGCCTCCAAGAACGTGCTCGCAGGACACACACCGTGCCCCCCGTGCCGCCCAGGCAGGCTGTCTGGGAGGTGGCAGAGGACTGCCGTGCGGTCACACCCGGCACGTGGGTGGGCTGGAGTCCTGGAGAACACGCCCTTACCACGTGACTGACAACAGCAATCAAAACTGTCCGCTTCAACTTCTGCGAACACACAGCCCCTCACGCACATCAGCTGAAAACTGACTTCTCTGCTGGGCCGCCTGGACCCGGCCGAGTCTCGCCGAGGGCTGCCCTACCCTGAGTGTGACTGAGGGTGGCATCACAACCTCCCAATCTGCCCTGCTCTGTGCATCCCGCTGGCAGGGAAGCGAGGTCACGGTCGCCCCCCCGCACGGCTTTGTGCGGACGGTGCAGTGGAAAGCTGAGTACCGAGTGGAGGGGCAGGCTGCTTGGGAAACTCCCATGTCTTTCTCTCGGTTCCGTCTTCTAACAATTTAAAACCAGAGCAGCATGGAAACCTTTGTCTTTCTTTTTTGCTGTTTTTATCACAGAAACGCACCTAACTAATGCTTCACACAACCAAAGTGTCCAACTGAAAAAGGAAGGAAAAGTGGTGGATTGAGCATCTTGAATTCAAACTTAGGAGGAGACTTTAAAGCAATTGGCGAAACGTGGATCCGGACAGGGACTTATGCAATGTGAACCCAGAACCACCTGACAGACCCAGGGAGGGACCGACAGGGCCCCGGCCTAGATACATTGTACAGTGATTGAAAAGTCAGGCTAATACTCGCAATAGAAGGCATACACTCATGTGACTTTAAATTAATGTCTTTAAAGAATTAAACGCTAACTCAGCAAAGTGTAGAAAGCATGTTGGAAATATGCAAAGATGGAAGAGCTTTTCAAGTCCAGATCATGCATATGTGCCTGGAACCCAACAAAGTCACAGCACACGTCACAGTCAGAGGCAGTGCTTGGGAGCTGCAGACGGTGCACAGCTCACTGGCGGCGGTCACCGGGGTGTACGCGAGTAACATCGAGTAAGAGGCAGAAATCAGGGAGGAGAGAATGGTCCTAGCCATTCAACTTAACAAGGTTGGCCATGGGTGCGGCCCTTTATGTCTTCAATTGCAGTTAAGAAAAGCAAAATAAATAAA